AGCGAGGAAGTCAAAGGCGGGAGCACCGATCCTGAGTAAATTCTGAAGAAGTCTCAGGAGCGGGGGTCCTGAGCAAATTTTGAGGAAGTCTCAGGCGGGAGCCGTTGTTGTTGTAATCCGGGGGGCCAGGGGCCCAGTTTGAGCACCAAGACTTTCCTGTCAAAAAACCGGGTGCGAGCGTCGAAGGGCGCACTTTGATTGAGAAACACAGCATGCACCATTGAGGGGGGAACAGCAACAATTACTCATCAGAAATGAGAGGTCAACAACAACAGCAAAACAACAAAACAACGACAAAAACAACAACAACAACAACAACAACAATCATTTTACCCGAACGCTCAGTGTTCTCACCAGTGCCAGGGTTTTCATGCGACGCGAGACAATACCCCCACTTCGTGGGGGGGCAGTTCAAGCTCTACCAAATATCCAAACGACTCTTCGCGACCACCCAAACCCAGCTTCCCGCCCTATGACGTTGGGACACTTCACTTCGTGGCGTGCGGACGACCGTGGCTACTACACTGGCGTGGGGTACACACCCACAGAACTTGGTCACTTATTCGGGGCGCGCGTGTGCCCAGCATCCTGCAATTGTGACATACAATACATGACACAGACAGACAGAGAGAGAGACAGAGAGCAGACAGAGAGAGAGACAGAGAGAGCGGAGTTGGTCACATTTTTGGGGCAAGTTCCTGAGATCGTCGTGTTTTTTGTTGGTCTTGCGCGCGCGAATGTCCACTTTACTTTTTTTTGCAAGGGAGTATTGAAATTTGATTATGTTAGAACAAGAAAAAGTAGCTCGCGCGAGCTCATGTAACATAAATGTTGAAAAACCATTGGTTTTGTGGGAGTCGGACAGCGCGCGCGGGATGAAATTTGGACATTTTTTTTTGAAAAACCATTGGGTTTTTGATGTTTTTATGTTGAAATCGTTACGAAACCTAAGGTTCTGGAAGGATTTCGTCTTGCGCGCGCGAATGTCCACTTTACCTTATTTTTTGCAAGGGATTATTGAAATTTGATTATGTTAGAACAAGAAAAAGTAGCTCGCGCGAGCTCATGTAACATAAATGTTGAAAAACCATTGGTTTTGTGGGATTCGGACAGCGCGCGCGGAAGGACATTTTGACAATTTTTTCTTAAAAAACCATTGGGTTTTTGATGTTTTTATGTTAAAATCGTTACGAAACCTAAGGTTTTGGAAGGATTTCGTCTTGCGCGCACGAATGTCCACTTTACCTTATTTTTTGCAAGGGATTCTTGCAATTTGATCAAGTAAGAACAAGAATTTTCATTTTATAGTGTTTTTTGCAAGGGAAAACGGATTACAACAAAACAACCGGATCCGGACACAATCCACTTTTCTGAAGCTTTCGCTAGAAAATGAAGGAAATGAGGCTGCGGCCTAGGTTTTGGAGGGGGGTCGCGCACCAGGGGTCTCAACAATAATATTTCTTTAGAAGTAATAATGTTCAACAACAACAACAACAACAATCATTTCAAGATTGTTCGCTATTATCTGATGGCGTGCCACTCAAACCATATATCCCAAACCATCGATACCCGCACGGTCCGTCTTCGATCGTAACCCCTACCAGGGATATATGTTGTAACCTGCAACCTGTATTTCGCGCAGCACCTAAGGCAGGGAAGAGAGGACGGATGGAGGAAGGGACAAGGGGGCGGGAAAAGGATGGAGCACGAGCAATAGTACCAGGAGAGGGGCTGGGAGCAGGAAACACGTGGCAGAACTAGACGGACACATCGGGCGGGTAGACCTTAACGGGCGGGTCGGGAAGGCGGGCCCAGGCGGTCAGGTCGAGCAGGCGGCTTGCTGAAGCGTGCGTCCTGTATGAATCGCGAGGGATTCTCGAGCGATAGCGCGATTCCGAAATAATCGCGAGGCAGTCCACAGCGAGAGCGTGATTCCTGAGTGTCGAAGGCGCGGCGTCTGAAAAAAATGCGAGGACGTCCCACGCGAAAGCGCGATTCCGGTAGAAATTCTGCGGAAATCCCGCGCGAGAGCGCGATGCGGGAATAAATTGTTAGGAGGTATCAGGCGGAAGCCGCTGTTGCTGTAAACTGGGGGCCAGGGGCACAGTTTGGCGACCTGTCACTGTCCCTTGAAAAAACCAAAGGCGAGCCCCGGAAGCACTTTGATTGGAAAATACAGAATTGCTACTGGAGGGAAGGGGAAAACAATCATGATTCCTCAAAAATGAGGATGCAACAACAACAACAAAAACAACAACAATCATTTTAAGACCGTTCGCTCTTATCTGCTCGCGTGCCACTCAAAACGTATATCCCAACCAATCGATACCCACCCTCTTCGTCTTCGATCGTATCCCCATCAGGAGTATATATTGTCTACTGCAACGTGTATTTCGTGCAGCACCTAAGGCAGGGGAAGAGAGGACGGATGGAAGAAAGGGACAAGGGGGAGAAAGAATGGAGCACGAGATGGTAGCAGGAGGGAAGAGAGAGAGAGTGCCAGAGAGAGAGAGAGGGAGGGAGAAGGAGACTGATAGAGGGAGAGGGACAAAGGGAAGAAAGAGAGAGGGAGAAGGAAATGTAGAGAGAGAGATCTAGAGAGCGAGAGGGACATAGAGAGAGAACGCAAGAAAGAGGAAGGAAGGGAAGGAAGGAGGGAGGGAGAGAGAGAGGGAGAGAGAAAGGGAGGGGGAAGAGAGAGAGAGAGAGAGAGAGAACGAGAGCAAGAACGAGAGCGAGAACGAGAGCGAGAACACGCGAGTTCAGACAGTGTATCGTCAGAGCAGTCAGGGTGCAGATCTGGCAGCAGCGCACTCTGGCCATCGTTCGGACGTCCTGTCCGTGTGTTTTTGTTCGGTTTCGTGCGTGTTTTCTTCTTCGCCAAATGATCAAGGATGCTCCTCGATGGCCCTCGCCGAGAAAAAATGCACACGTCCGAGCGATGCCAGGTACTCGGAGATGACCTCCAGGCAGGCAGCGAGGCAGCCAAGCCCCGCTGACCAGGCGAAGGATGGAGCGCGGCCTTCCCGGGGCGTTCCCCTGCACAGGCGGGGACAGACAGAAGCACGGGAACAGAGGGAGAGGGGGAGAAAGAGAGAGAGAGAGAGAGTACTGCTCCCCCTCCTTCCCGTCCTTTACCCCAAACCCTCCCTCCCTCCCTCCCTCCCTCCCTCCCAACCCGCCCTCTTTCCCCCTCCCTCCCTCCCTCCCTCCTTCCCTCTCGGGCGCCGTCACAATCCGTTCCTGCATCCAAGGACTACCCTCTCGCTATGCGCCGCTCAACCGTGTCCCCGTTTCCCTCCTCCCTCCTTCCCTCCCACCCGTCCCCCCCCCCGCGCGCAGCGCAGGGCCTCAGAGCGCACCTTCTCCTGCGAAGTCACGAGGCCCCTCAGGAGCGAGTGCCCCCCGAGGACAACCCGCTCCGTCTCGAGGAGCACCTCGGGGGCGCCCCTCTCCTCCTCCTCCCCGTCCGTCTCCTCCTGTTCCCCTCTTCATTGTAGACATAACTCCTCCCTGTCGCAACCCCAGGCGTGTCGGTACGGCAGGCCGGGCGCTTCGCCCGAGACTCCCTCACCCTTTTATGACCCTGAAGCTTGAAATTCATGACTTTAGAGGGATGGGGAGAGGGTCCTTTTGAAAGTGCGGCTCTCGCCTGAGCGCTGCGCACACTCGTCGTAAAGTTTGCAGCAGCGTGGTGTTCAAAATGTGGCAGGTGGTGTTCAAAATGTGGCTCGCGCCCTGGCGCCATGCACAACTACTCATCGCACAGTTTGCTTAAAATTGGAGGGCGGCTTCCTTTCAAAATGTTGCTCTCGCCTGAGCGCCACTCACATCGGTCTTAACAGATTGCGACTGGTTCAGGGGGTCGTGTGCAGTCCCAGGAATGGTATTATGGCACGGCTTCGGATTGCCAGGACGTAATAAACACGTTGATTCGCAGTGCTGAAATCCCAAGCATGTTGTTCTGGCACGATTTACACCTGTCAGGACGCAACACTCACGTTGATCCGCGGCTTTGGAATCCCGACACATGGTGTTCTGGCACGGTCAAGGATTATCAAACGCTTGTCTTCTAATTTGCCACTCTCCACAGCGGAAACAAATTGTCTCGGGGACCTATGAAGGGGGGACTTGAAGGGAGAATTGATCGCAACATCGTTGATGCATCTTGGGTTTTGCTATCAAGGGCACCAGAGGCCGAAAACTTCCAAAAGCCCTCCGTCGTGATCTGTTCACCACTCGGATAGAGCAGTAGAGAACTGCATCAGCATCAACGTTATGAGGCACAGGCGGATTCCTTGGATCTGGGAGGTCCAGCGCCTATCCAAGAAACCCGCGCGGACCTACAAAATGAATGCACATGCCGATGCTGCTTCTTCCATCGAGGACGTCTGGGTTCCCCCCTCCCTCCTCCCAGGAGAGCCCAGGATCGGATCGACAAGTCGGATCGGCGATCGAAATGAATCGGATCGGCGGAAATCGGCAGCCGAGTCGGGAAAAGTCGGATCGGCGGAAATCGGCAGGCTAGTCTGCCTCCCATAAGAAATCGGAATTCAAATCGGAATCCCAGATCGAATCGAATCGGAATCGGAAACCATCGAAATCGAATCGAATCGAATCGGAGGAATCGAAACGAGCCCTGTCCTCCTCCCACTCCTCGGGTGCGCCGAAAAGAGGGGGCCAAACGTCGGTGGCCCGCGCACCGCTCCTCGAGGCACGTGCGCGGACAAAGGGGAGGCCGGTCCCCGGCCATGACTCATGTCCACACACTTTTGGTCGGCGGGGCGAGAGCGAACATCTTCCGTTAAAAACTGATATCCACACACACCTACGGCAGGCTCGCGTCGTGTCGACCCCGGCGTTGGTTCCTGACACCGCGGGGATCGTTCAACATTGAACGATCGGCCGTTTCCGAAACGTTCAAATCGTTCCACATCGAACGATTCTGGGTCGCCCGCGGCGTTCAAGGTTGAACGCCGCTGGCGGGGTCGTCGCCGGTCGACACGACACTAACCTACCGTAATTACCCAGAGTCCTCCCAGATTGGATGGGCCCTGGCCAAAATGCACACAAACGCCCCTCTCGGACGACCCCGAAACTGTCCCCCTCGCATCGCGCCCGCTGGCCCATCCCGCCCAAGGTGGCGCGAAGCGCCTCCCGGTGCTCCACGTCCACGGACGCCACCTCCGCGCGGGCACCGGCGCGTCTCGAGGGCGCGTCTCGAGGGCGCGGGCACCGGCGCGTCTCGAGGGCCGAGCGCGGGCACTGTCTAGGAACAAGATGCATCATCGATACTTCAAAAGATTCGAAAATATTACCTCGCCACCAATCGACTCGAGGGCGCGGGCAACTGGGGAGGGCCAGAGGAAGGGGGGGGGAGGAAGGGAGGGAGATCGGCGGCGAGCGAGGGGGAAGTGAGAAGGAGAAGGCCTTCTCAGAAGGCGTCGGGGCTTCTCTGAAGCCCTCCAGCATTCTGAGAGGTTCCCGGGTGTCTCCAGTGTCTCCGTGCGAGCGGAAAACCAACTCAGGTAAGGTACGCTGGCCCGAAGGCGCGTCAAGGTGCACCCACAGCTGAAGCCGAAGCCAAAGCTGAACTGCACAAAAAAATGGAAAGGGCCCAGCCTGCAGGTCTGGTTGATAGCCAGCACATCGCTAAGCGGTGCTGCCGCCTCCCCTGAGAAAAGGCAAGGGAGTGGAGGGGAGGAGAGGGCTGGTATGGCGAAAGTGACCCCAGCGCTGGTTTCTGACACCGCGTGGACCGTTCAACCTGAGCGATCGGCGGCTCTCCGATCGCCAGATCGTTCCACATTGATTGGCCGACTCTGGGCCACTGGCGGTGGTCAATCTCCAACGTCCGCGGCGGGGTCGCTGCCGCGTCGACAGAATTTGAAGAACGCCCACAGCAAAAACGAGACCCTGGCGGGTGATCTGGTACCCGAGCGTTGATCGGGCCCCGTAGGGAGGGGCCCGCAGGGGTCGTAGAGACAGGAGGAGCTGGGACGCCGCGGCGCTCCCGTCTCGGGAGCGGCCAAGAAGGGGGTGTCCAAGAGGGGGGGGGGGTGCAAATCATGACCGGCGGCACGTGCGCGGCCCAGCAGGGGGGGCGAGGGACGTCATGAGACAAGGAGAGGCGCCATGAAATCTGTGGAAATATCATGCCCCCCGCCATGATATCCACCCCCCCCTAGTCATCACCCCCCTCTTTGCCGCCCCCGACCAACCCAACCCGAAGACCCGAACTCCGGGTTGGTGGGGGTGCAGGTTCCACGCGTGTTTTGTCGATGTTCCCCGACGCCCCCCCCCACTGGATACGGAGGGCAAACCGGGGCCTTCGGGTCGGGTTGGGGTGCTTTGGTGGGCGGTGCTTCTCTGGTGAGCTGGCGCGGCGCGACCGAGCAGGGCTGAACCTAAACGGTGTTGTTCGCTTCCCTCGTTTCGTCCTCCATCCCTCTTTGCCGCCCCCGACCACCTCGTCCGGTGACGACTGGGGGGAGGTGCGCCCCGGGGGACGCCCACGAGCCTCGGCGCCGCCGGCTCTGGAATTGTGGCCGCAGCGGGGCACGAGGAGGAGCACCAGGAGAGGGGTGAGGAACAAAGGGGGAGAGGGAGAAAAGCAGAGGAGGAGGAGGAGGAGGAGGAGGAGGAGGAGGAGGAGGAGGAGGAGGAGGAGGAGGGGAAGGAGGAGGGAAGCGAAGGGGGAGAAGGAAAAGGAGGAGGAGGAGGAGGAGGAGGCGGCGGAGGGGGAGAAGGAGGGGAAGGAGGAGGGATGAGGAGTGGGGAGGGGGAAAAGGAGAGGAGGAGGAGGAGGAGGAGGAGGAGGAGGAGGAGGAGGAGGAGGAGGAGGAGGACCAGTGCAACCCGAGACTCATCAGCGATGTTGGAATGCCCACTCCCTCCAAGTTCCCTCTTCACTGGCCCCTACAAGGATTCATTTTCACCGAGTGAAGTGCCCTGTGGGGGGACAACCATGTGAAAACCCTGAGCCGTGCCAAAACACCACTCTCAGGACTTCAACGATAAGAGGCAACTTGACTGTTGCGTCTTGATGATCCTAAAACGCGCCAGAAAATCATGTGTGGAACTTCAAGACCTCGAATCAACCTAACTGTTGCGCCCTGACGTTCCTGAATCGCTCTAAAACACCATCCTCGGTACGATCACCATGAGAACCAATGAAAGTCTTGCGTGTATTGGAGACGAATGTGCGCGGCACTAAGGCGAGAGCCACACTTTGAGAAGGAACCACCCTCAATGCGCGAAACTCCTGCAAAGACTTAAAACGAATGTGCGCGGCGCCAAGGCGGGAACCACATGTTGAAAAGAAACCGCTCTCAATTCGTGCAACTCTTGCAAATGGGTAAAACAAAAATGCGCAGCGCTAAAGCAAGAGCCACATGTTGAAAAGGAACCGCCCTCAATCCGTGAAACTCTTGCAATGTGTTGAAACGAATGTGCGCGGCGCTGAAGCGAGAGCCACATTTTGGAAGCAACCCGCCCTCCATCTGTGAAAATGTCGCAGTTGTTAGGCTTGCGGCTCATAAATGGTAGGGATGTCTCAGGCGAAACGCCCGGCCCGCCCTGCCGACTGGCCCAGGGATGCAACAGGGAGGAGCTATTCTTAAAGGAGGAGGAGGCGGAGGAGGAGGAGGAGGGCGAGGAGGAGGAAGAGGTGGAGAAGGAGGAGCAGGAGGAGAGGATCAGAAGGAGGAGGAGAAAGAGGAGGGGAAGGAGGAGGGAAGGAGGAGGGGGAGGAGGAAAAGGAGGAGGAGGAGGAGGCGGAGGGGGAGAAGGAGGGGGAGGAGGAGGGATGAGGAGTGGGGAGGTGGAGTAGGAGGAGGAGGAGAGGAGGAGGAGGAGGAGGAGGAGCGGGATCGGAATCGGAGCGCTCTGTCGGGCGATCGCGGAAGCCCCCCGCTGGGCGAAGCGGGCGAGGCCGCGGCCCCGCAGAGTGGCTGGCGGGGCTGCGGGGGGGAGGGGCACCAGGAGGGGTGCAGGGGAGGCCCTCCCCCGCTCCGCCTCCCAAGCCCGCCGCCGTCCTGCCAATCTTCCCTCCTCCTCCTCCTCCTCCTCTTCCTCCTCCTCCGCCTCCTCCTCCGCCTCCGCCTCCTCCTCCTCCTCCGCCTCCGCCTCCTCCTCCTCCTCCTCCCTCCTCCTCCTCCGCCTCCTCCTCCTCCTCCTCCTCCTCCTCCTCCTCCTCCTCCTCCTCTTCCTCCTCCTCCTCGTCCTTTTCCTCCCTCCCTGCTTCCCTCCCTCCCTGTCCCCTCCCTCATCCCCAATGTCCCGAGGAGGAGAGGAAGGATTCCAGGCGAAAGACTCGAGCTATAGCTCACGCTAGGAAATAGGGGATGACATGTGCTGTCGCAGCGATAGATTGCACAGCACAGCGCGATGTAACACACGCCAGAGACAGAACAAGTGAGCGCGAGAGACTCCCCGTTGGGAATTCACCTCAAGCTCAAGCCATGAGGGGAGCAGCCAAAGACAGCCATCAGGATGGAGTATCGGGACGCAAGACGCCAAGAAGGCGCCCAGATGCCAGGGTGCCCTTGGACCGGGAGAACAAAATGAGTAGATCGACGGGTGCAGGGGCGCCTTGCTTCAAAGGCCAACTCAAAGCGGGGGCCCGAGGCACTCCGCCCGCCGTCCGCCAGCAGAGTCCCCGTGCTCCTGCAATGATGTGAGGGCGACCCGTGGGCTCCGACAGGTCGGCGATGAGCCCTCGATGGCAAATCCGCACGGTCCTGGGCGGGGTGTTCGATCGGGAACCCCTCGGCGATCCATGCCCTCTCGGCGATCAGGGGGCAATTGGCGGTTGACCCACGCGCCTGGAGGAGCCGCAAGATCGTCCACAGTCCGGCTCGCTCGCCGTCGCGCCCTCGCGCTCAGGCCTCGGCCGCGGCCGCTGCGACACGGCAGACCAGCGGGTCCACAGGGGCAGCCAGCCCCGCCTCCCACACGACGAACTCGACGATCGCCACGGACCACTTCCCCACTCGAAGGCGCGCCAGCGGCTGCTCAAAACCTCCACACCGATGCCGCCCAGGCCCGCCCTGCACAGCGCAGCGAGCCGCTGGCGCACCACCGCAGAGGAGCACGACGGGGAGGGGTGAGGATGCCCTACCCGTGGATGGACAGTGTCCGCAAGCCCCGTCGGCGGGCCTGACCTGCTCAGGATTTGTCCGGCGCGCACTGACCAAGCGTGACGCAGCAGGAAGCCGCGCCCATAGCGCCGAGGCGCCGTGCCCAGGACAGGCCACCTGCACCGAATTCGGGGGGGGGGAGGGGAGGGCCCCCACGACCCCGGCCAGCAGAGGGGAGTGCTCGGCACCGACCGCCTCGGCGATCGCGGACCCCAGGTCCGTGGGCGAGGCAGGCGCCGCGAATGGCCGCGGCGGGAAGGCGCCGTCGCCGCGCCAGAGGCGGGCCCAGGGTCGGTCGGCCGGCCAGACGCGGGCGGCTCTGACGCTCGGCCGTGCTCACCCGTCCCCCGGGGGTGCGCAGGTGACCCGTGCGGTGTGCGCGCAAGCGCTCCCTGCAAACCCGAAAGGCGAGCGGCTTCGCGCTCCTCGGGCCACAGAGATGGCCGTGAGACTCTCGGGAGCGCGGCGGCGGCGCCGCCCCTCCGGGGGGCGTCCCCTCCGGGGGGAGGTAGGAGGTGGAGGTGGAGGAGGAGGTGGAGGTGGAGGAGGAGGAGGAGGAGGAGGTGGAGGAGGAGGAGGAGGAGGAGGAGGGGGAGGAGGAGGAGGAGGAGGAAGAGGAGGAGGAGGAGGAGGAGGAGGAGGTAGGAGGAGGAGGAGGAGGAGGAGGAGGAGGAGGAGGAGGAGGAGGGGAGGAGGAGGAGGGAGGGAGGCGGACGGACCGTGCCGCTTGTTGGTCACGCGGCCGCGCTTCTGCGCCCCGGCAGGCCCGCGCAGTGGCTCCCTGCTCTGGGCGGCTCCCGCCCCTCCTCGCCTCTCCCGCGCTCCCCCTCTCCGCCTCCCGTGCCTCCGGCTCGCTCCCGGCGTGTCCCGCCCGCAGCCCGACCGGCGCCTGCACGAGCCTCGACTCGCGTGCGCCCGCGGACTGGCGAAGGCCGTGTCGGGCGGATGCGGGAGGGGAGGGGAGGGCGGAGGGCGGAGGGCGGAGGGAGGAGCAACGAGGGAGGACAAGGGGGGCAGCGCGTCCCGCGCACCCCCAGGAGGGCGAGCGGCACGGGGGAGCCGGGGCCGCGTCGCCCCCTCCCCCCCGACCTCGCCATCGCTCGGACGTCCCTTCCCCGTGCATGTTTCGATGTCGTGCGTTGATTGGTTCGTCAGATGATCCAACATGCTCCTCGATGGCCCTCGCCGAGCAAAAAATGCACACGTCCGAGCGACGCCGAGCTGCCATTCCCCCCACCTGCTCCCCGAGCAGGTCGTTCTGGTGGACGAGCAGGTCCCACCGCTGGCCTAGGTCCTCGAGGGCGGAGGCTGCGAGGAACAGGACGACGACGACGACGACGACGACGACGAAGACGACGACGACGACGACGACGACGACGACGACGACGACGCCGACGACGACGCCGACGCCGACGCCGACGCCGACGACCACCACCACCACCACCACGACGACGACGACGACCACCACCACCACCACGACGACCACCACGACAACGACGATCACGACAACGACCACGACGACGGCGGCGGCGATCTGGAGCAGGAGCAAGGGCAGCAGCGGATAGAGCCGCAGCAGCAAGACCCGCGTGCCAACCACAGGCTGTGGCGAAAGCGCGGCGGGCGACGGAGACAACGGTTACATTCAGAGAGGCGACGGAAGCCAAGATTGCGAACGGCGGCCCGATAGGTGACAAGGGCAGTCAGCGGCTCTCTGCTCCTCCTCCTCCTCATCCTCCTCCTCCTGCTGCTCCTCCTCCTCATCATCATCAGCATCAGCATCAGCATCAGCATCATCATCAGCATTATTATTATCATCATCATCATCATCATCATCATCAGCATCAGCATCAGCATCATCATCATCATCATCATCGTCATCATCATCGTCATCATCAGCATCATCATCTCATCATCATCATCATCGTCGTCATCATCATCATCATCATCGTCATCATCATCATCGTCGTCATCATCATCATCATCATCATCATCATCATCATCATCATCATCATCATCATCCTTATCCTCATCATCACCATTACATCCACATCCTCATCCTCATCTCAACCTCATCCTCATCCTCCTCCTCATCATCATCAGCAGCATCAGCATCATCGTCATCATCGTCATCATCATCATCATCATCATCATCATCATCATCATCATCATCATCATCATCATCATCATCGACCCCCCCTCCCTCCTTTTCTCCTCCCCCCCTTTCCCCCCCTCTCCCCCACTCCCCCTCCACCTCCTCCTCCTCCTTTTCCTCCTCCTTTTCCTCTCTCCTCCTCCTCCTCCGCCTCCTCTTCCTCCCCGCCGTATTCCTCGTTTTATGTTTCGTATAATTTGTACGATTAGTAATACTATGGTTAGTATATTGCTCATGCTAGAATAGTAATAATGATAAGAATCGTTGTTTTTAACAAAAAAAACAAAAAAATAAAAATAAAAAAAAAAAAAAAAAAAAAAAAAAAAAAAATGATAATTCGCATGACTATTCGTAGTATAATTATTATTTCGATCCGAATTAGCACTATCAGTAGTAGCATTAATAATAATACTACTAGTGGTGCTGTTAGTGCTTCTAAAATCATTACTCATTTTATTGCTAGTACTCTTACTAACACAATGTGCATGATTACTGCGACTATGCATAGTAATACAATGGTTGATATCATGAGTAGTGTTAGTACTGGAAGTACACATACGACTATTACTAACAACGATGATTGAAATCAGTATTAGTAGCATTCGTATGTGTAGTAGTATTGACATTAAGATAACAATGACATCAGTGATAGTATTCTCATCATCAGTATTACTGTTAATCTAGTTACTTGCTTTATACTCATTAGATTCGCATTCGGAATACGATTCGTATTCTTAACACTACACCCCTTATGAATATTATTAATGGCAATATCGCCATTCGTCTTCATAATATGACTCTTATTGTAGTATTCGCAGTCGCATTATTATAAGTGGTATTCGTATTAGCGCTATTAATTTGTTCATGCATGTTAGGTTTCTTATCATTGTGTTAACTCTTATTAGTTTGTCGTATTTCGATATATATGTATATACATGTATATGCGTGTATTGTTACCGCTCGTACCAATGCGTTTTGATAAACATATATACATGCACACGTCCAAGCAATCATATATATATATATACATGTGTGTTGCTGTTCTTACAAGTAGCATGATGACTATTAGTCAGAATCGTACTATCACTACTGGTATTACACACAATGTGTTGATCAACACTGTTATGACGATTATGTATGTGATGAAAGTTCTGGTTACTGTAATTGCCCGTGGTAGTAGTATTGCTAGTGTGGGTAATAGCATTAATACTCGTACGAATAATATGAAAGGGGCCCTGGAACACAGAAATAAATACACACAAATACAAATATTCCCCATACTTCCCCACATTTTCTGGGTGTCTGTCTTCCCCCCCACTGCCCATATTTTCCCATATTTCCCGTGGAATCGACGATTACTTGTGCCTGTGCTTTTCCCTCCTGATAGTATTACTAGTAGTACTGCGAGTTGTAATGCTACTACTATATGAGGTACGACTATCATGAAGCATATGTTTCCTCTCCCTACCTGGGAAAATATGTGGTATACTTGCTAGTATTCCTACGAGTTGTAATATTATTGTCATTAACACCTTTCGTGTTATTCGTATTCATTTTCGCCGTCTTCTGTTTCTTAATATATCATTATCGTTCCGTCTTATCTCCTTATTCTCGTTCGTCTTATCATTCTTAGTGTTCGTATTATACTATTCCTATGTATATTAATATTCGTATCTTCACTCCTCCTCCTTCTCCTCTCCCCCTTCCTCCTCCTCCTCCTCCTCCTCATCGTGCTCCTCATCCTGCTCCTCCTCCACCTCCTTCGCCTCATCATCATCATCACCACCACCAGAATCATCATCATCGTCATCAGCATCATCATCATCACCACCACCACCACCACCATCATCATCATCATCATCCTGGGCCGTGTCCTTCCAAGAAGCAACCATGCCTCCTCATTCTCCCCCTCCTCCTCGTCATGAGTCCCTCCATCCATCAATTCTCCTGTCAAACAACTCCTCCCTGTCGCATCCCCAAACGCATCGGCATGACAGGCCAGGCGTTTCGCCTGAGAAGTCCTCCCCACTTCTGAATTTGAGGCTTGAAATTTGCAACACCTCCAAGGACGAAGGGCAGCCCGTTTTCGAAATGTGGCTCTCTCCTCAGCGCCGTGCACATTCTGAAAAGCCTGTAACCGCTTTAAGGATGGAGGCTGGATTATTTGCAAGAAGCGGCGCTCGCATTAGCGTCGCGCACATTCGTCTTAAACCAGTGCAACAGTTTCAAGGAATCGTGTTGCTGAAATCCCACGATGGTGTTCTGGCACGTTTAAAGATTGTCAGGACGCAACAGTCACGTCGACTCGCGGTGCTGAACTCCGAGGAAGCGGTCCTGGCACGATTCAAGGCTGTCAGAACGCACCAGCCAAATTGATCCACGGCTTTGAAGTAACAGGAATGTTGCTTCGGCACGACTGAGGACCATCAGACTGTTGTTTTCTCATGGACAACTTCTAGCTATGGAAATATGCCTTGCTGAGTCAGCGTAGGGACGACCTCTGCAGAGGGAACTTGCCAGGAGGGCTTCTTGCAACACCGTCGATGCGTTTTGGGTTTACACTGGTCCTCCCCCCCTCCCGCTGCAGGATGGGGCCGACGATCGGGCGGGACCGGACCGGGAGTGCACCCGAGCGCGGTCCTTCTCGAGGGCGGCCCTGGCCTCGGCCACCAGGTCCTTGTGGAGCACGCTGGCGCTCTGGGCGTCGAACTTCCTCCCGCAGGGGGCCACCTGCGAACCCTGCCCCTACCCCCCACGATTTCTGAGGGGGAGGGTGGGGCTCACTTCGTGCGAGAGCTCTCGCACGAAGAGAACCCCACCCTCCCCCTCAGAAATCGTGGGGGGGAGGGGTAGGGTTCGCAGGCGGCCCCCTACCCCCGGCGGAGCGGCGGGTCTCTGCAGAGGCGGGCGCGGCCGCGGCCGCCGAGGGCAGACACGGCGCCCGCCAAACGAAGAGAGCCGGGCAGGCACGGCGGGCCAGGGGCGTTGGGGGGCGGAAAGATACGGCCCCCAAGAGGGCATCAGAAGAGTCCCAAAAGGGAAACACGAGCTGACATCTCGAGCCCCCCGCCCCAAAATGACCCCCGAGACCACCACCAGGCCCCGAGAGGGGGCCCCCTTAGAGGCCCCACGAGGCCACAGCCCGCGAGAGGCCTCCGATGAGCTCCCCAGACACGCCAAAACTTGGGGGGCGGAAAGATACGGATACGTGTTGTCCCCGGACCTGTTTTGGGGAGCGTTCTGGCCAGGATTTCGAGGCGAATCCAGCGGTGACAGCGAGGACTCCCCAGGAGGACCAGGAGAGGCCGAAAACGAAGGGGGACAGCACGTATCCGTATCTTTATGTCCCCCGAGCCGGGCGGGCGGCCGGGCGCGCGCAGGAGTGACCCCCGGGCAAGAGCGGCCTCCGGCGCGCGGCGGCCTCGGGGGACCGCGCGGCCAAAGCCGAGCGCGGCAGCGGATGCCGGGGGGGGGGGGCCCTGCGCGCCCGCACCAAGATGACTGCCCACCAAACCACCCCAACCCAACCCGAAGACCCCAATGTCGGGTTGGGGGGGGGGTAAGGGTTCCACACGCGTTTTTGTCGATGTTTCCCGACCCCCCCCCCCACTGGAAATCGAGGGCAAATCTGAGCCTTCGGGTTGGGTCGGGGTGGTTTGGTGGGTGGTGATGCAAAAGGTCACTCCGGCCAAACGCCACTCTCGCGCGCAGCCGTGAGGCGGCGCGCCCGAGGATATGCTGCTCCCATCGTACTTGAGAGCCACATCCCAGAACTGACTTCGAGCACCCAGAGAAGCATCGAAACGGTGTCGAACGAGTGTCGCCTCCCAGGGCCCGACACGTGAAAACCCTCGAGTTTCGATGTGTTCTTGGTGCTCGCATTTTTCTGGTGATCAAGGCTGAAGTAGGTTGGGACATCACCAGCCCAAGGGGCAAGTGTGAAGAGGTGGGCCTTCTCAGCAGGCCCGGAAGTTCCCCGGCCTCCTGAAAAAGTGTCCTAAGCCTCCCCCGAGGGCACAGAAAACTCCTCGGCAGGCGCGACGGCTTCTGAGACGTCCCGTCGCCTTCTGAGAAGGCCTTCTCCTTCGCACTTCCCCCCCTCGCTCGCCGCCGATGCGCCTCGCGAGGCGGAGGGCTGCGCGCACGCGCCCGTCCTGGCCCGGGCCCGCCCACCCCCCGGGCCCAGGATCGGCGCACGAGGCCCCCCATGCCTGGGCCACGTGGGCATGCACGCCGAGAGGAGGAGGAGGAGGAGGAGGAGGAGGAGGAGGAGGAAGAGGAAGAGGAGGAGGAGGAGGAGGAGGAGGAGGAGGAGGAGGAGGAGGAGGAGGGGGAGGAGGGAGGAGCAGGAGGAGGAGGAGGAGGCGGTCAGAGGGCCCAGAGGTGGGCGGGCCCGGGGGCCGGGGCCGGCGCGCGCGCGCGCAGCTCGCCAGGGGTGCGCCCCACATCCCTGCAGGCGGCTCCCCTCTGCGGCCCCAGCCCTCGCAGGCGCCGGGCGTGGGGGCCCACGGAGTCCCACCCCGGGCGTCTCTCGGCGGCTCGAGAGAGAGAGAAGCTCCGCGGGCTGCGCCGCCCGAGCGCTCGCCCCCTCGCGCGGCACGGGGCGGCGAGGACGCGGGGCACGGGGAAGAGCGAGGAGGGGGGGCAGGAGAAGCGAAGGGGGGGTTCTTCCGGAGGGGAAGAAATACACACAGACACAAGGAATCGTCGATCCCCCGGAAAATGTGCGAAAATATGCGAAAATATGCGAAGGGGGAAGGCAAAAACCCAGAAAAAATATGGGAAAATATGGGGAATATTTTTACTTGTGTGTATCTATTTCTGTGTTCTGGGGCCCCATTTAGTTCTCCCCACAGCGAGGCCTCGCTCCCCTTCCGCCTGCAGCCCTCTTCGGGGGCGGCGGCGGCGGCGGCGGCCTCTGCGGCCTCTCCTGGTGTCCTGCACACGCCACGATGGGCCGCGAGCAGGAAGTGAAAAGAGGGGGACCACTGTAGCCTGCCCGCACTGTAGGCGGTGACCAGCCCGAGAGAGAGAGAGAGAGAAAAAAAAAAAAAAAAAAAAAAAAAAAAAAAAAAAAAAAAAAACATATATATATATATATATATATATATATATATATATATATATATGTCGCCCTCTCCTTGCTTGGGGTGACAGGGAGCGTGAGATAATTGTCTGTCCCCTCCCCCTCCCCTGGGGTCCAAAATCGCGTTTGAGGGGGGGGGCACGAGCTCGTAAACGCCCTTCGTGGGCCCTCGGTGACGGAAGAGGGCACAAACACGGGTCAAGAGAGCCCCAAAGAGGGCCCCATGACGGGCCAAAATGGCTCCGAGACGGCCAAAGAGCGCTCCACGACGCCCACGATGTCCTCCACGGCCCAAGAGGCCCCCAAGACACCCCAAGAGCGCCCCGTGTACCCCAACAGGAGAAAATTATAGTTTTTCGCGTTGTCGCCTTTTCGGGCTTGCGACGCTCCACGACGGCCCAAAAGGCCCCGAACATTGCCCCAAGACGGTCCAAGAGGTCCCCAAGAGGGCCCCCAGACGGCCTCCGAGGCAGCCCGAGACGGCTCCAAGAGGGCATCAGAAGAGTCCCAAAAGGGAAACACGAACTGACATCTCGAGCCCCCCGCCCCAAAATGACCCCCGAGACCACCACCAGGCCCCGAGAGGGGGCCCCCTTAGAGGCCCCACGAGGCCACAGCCCGCGAGAGGCCTCCGATGAGCTCCCCAAACACGCCAAAACTTGGGGGGCGGAAAGATACGGATACGTGTTGTCCCCGGACCTCTCTTGGGGTGCGTTCTGACCAGAATTTCGAGGCGAATCCAGCGGTGACAACGAGGATTCCCCAGGAGGACCAGGAAAGGCCGAAAACAAAGGGGGACAACACGTATCCGTATCTTTTTCTCCCCCGAAAAACCACCTCCACGAGGACGCCATGAGCACGCATACGTATCAGCATCCGCCGACCCCCGCGAGGTTTGCGGGTCGTGAACCGGCTCCATCCCGCGGCGACGGCCCCCGACGGACTCACCTGACCCCAAGAGGCTCCACGAGGGGAAGCTCCACAATGCCCCCAGAACATCGAGAACCGTCCCGTCGTCCTCGTCTTCTTTCCCCTCCTTGCTCCCACCGTCGTCGTCGTTGTCCATGTAATCCTCCTCCTCCTTATCCTCATTCTCTTGAATCCCACCAGCCCTCTGGGCGCAGGTGCTCCAGCGCGTTTCCTGTTCCAACCTCATTCCTTTCCCTGCTCGGGAAGTTTGCCTCCCCCCCTCTCCCTGGGTCAGGAAGGGCTCCCCCGCAATGTGTCAGGGCGGCCTGTTTGGCCCAAGATAGCTCCAAAAGGGCTTTAGGTAGCCCAAGATGGCCTCCAAGATCGCCCAAGATACCTCAAGATAGCTCAAGATAGCCTCCGACACTTATCCAACAGGTCTCAAGACGCCCACAAGACGGTTTCAAGTGCCCTCCGAGCCCTCCAAGGACCCCCCAATAGGCCAAAATCCTTCAAAAATCTTGTGAACGTCAATGTTTTTTGGCTTTCTCCCTTGTGCCTCCGATCGGCTCTTGAAGCCTCAAGATGGCCCTAAGACGGCCTAAGATAGCCCCAAAAGGAGCCCAGGAGGCCCCCAAAACGGCCCCAAGAGCGCCCAGGAACGCTCCAAGAGCCTCCGATAGGGGCGACGGGAATTAGGACCCCCCCTCTGTTTGAACAATGGGGCCCAAGACAACCCAAAAAGGCCTCCCAGACCCCCCCCAAGAGCCCCACGAGGGCTCCAAGGCCCCCCAAGAGAGCCGAAAGGGGGCCCCATGAAGGCCCCAAGAGGACCCCAAAAGGGCCCCGAGATGGCGCCCAAATGGCATTACGAGTCTTCGAAGAACCCCTCACCACGACAGATCCCCAAAGCCCGAATCATCGTATTCCTTGTCGTCGTCCGTTCCTTCCTTGCCTCTTTCCTGCCACCTCCCTGCTCCTTTGCATCCTCCTCGCGCCGCGTTTATCATGCTCCTCATCCTCCCTCCCGTCCTCCATACGTGATTTTCCTTTTCCTCCTTTTCTTCCTCCTCCGCCTCTTCCCTCTCTTCTCCCTCCTCCTCCTCCTCCTCACCCTCCTCCTCGTCGTCCCCTTCCCCTTCCTATTCCTCGTACCCCCAAGATGGCCCAAGGCATCACCATCACCAGCACCAGCAGCGCCAGCAGTAGCATCAAAATCAACACCAGCAGCAGCGGCACCAGAGGCACAACCTACAACGACAACACCAACGATGCCATCAGCTACAGCACCACCGACACCCTTCGCTACAAGATACCTCCCAACTCACTGGTGCTACCAATTTCAAAACGCACGCGAGCTTAAGATATAAGTCAATGAAGAACTAAGATGAATGATATCAATCGAAATACAATTCTACTCTGCGCAGCAATGACGTCTAATCGTAGAGACAGCATACTGCGCCAGACACGCTTCCTACAGGGAACACCATGGCGCATCTTGCACTGGTGTCTTTCCTAAACTTCACTGCGCGAAGCTATTGGTGGTCCTTGCGTTCTGGCCCGAAGATACTGTCCACCCATTTTGGAAGCTTCCAGACCGGCTGTGCGACCGCGTGCTTCCAGGCGCCCCTGATGAACCAACTCACCTGGCAATCGTTTCTGGATGGGCTGGCGGGGATACTTTTTAGCCGCGAGCACGCAGGTGTGCCAGGCGCCGT